ATACACATCTTGTGCCTTTTGCATCAAGTTTGCCTCTCATACTATCTGGAACCTTGGCATATGCAATGCATCCAAAAATCCTCATGTGAGATATGCAAGGTTTCTTACCAGTCCAAGCTTCTTGGGGAGTCATTCCTTCAAGTGCACTTGTAGGACACCTATTTCTTGTATACACAGCATTTACCACAGCTTCCGCCCAATACTCATACCCAAGTTTTTGAGCATGAAGCATACTCCTAGCCATCTCCACAATGGTGCGATTTGCTCTTTCAGCAACTCCATTTTGTTGTGGGGTGTAGGGAGTAGAGGTTTGTCTTGCAATGCCTTCATGTTTCAATAATTCATTAAAGTGATGAGACAAATACTCACCTCCATTGTCCGATCTGAGCACCTTAATCTTGTGCTCACATTGCTTCTCCACAAGTACTTTCCACTCCTTAAACTTGGCAAAACACTCACTCTTGGCCTTGATGATGAAAATCCATACCTTCCTTGAGAAGTCATCAATAAATGTGACAAAGTACCTTGCTCCACTCATAGATGGTGTCTTTATAGGTCCACAAACATCCGAATGCACAAGCTCCAGTAATTGGTTTGCTCTTGATGCAACTCTGCTAGGAAATGGTGTCCTATCTTGTTTACCTTCAATGCATCCCTCACAAGCAAAATTCATGGTAGAATGGCCAAGGTCTAAGCCCTTTACCATAGATTGAAGCTCTTTCATGCTTTTGGCATTCAAATACCCAAGTCTTTGATGCCAAATGTCCACCTTGTCTATATTTGATGGAAATTCAGCAAATACAGCAACCTCCACTCCATTGATCTTCTTGCAATTGATAATATAGAGATTTCCATCCCTAGTTCCTTTTGCTACTTCTTTGCCCTCCATGGTTCTCACAAAACACCCATTCATATCAAATTGCACTCTACATCCATGAGTTACAAGTTTATTCACCGAAAAGAGATTCTTCTTCATCTTTGGCACATGCAACACTTCCTTGAGTGTGATCCTCTGGCTTGTGCCCTTCACTACCACCTCTACTATAATAGTACCCATTCCAATGGCTTGTACCATACCATTATCACCTAACCAAACCTTGGTGGCTAGAATTGATTGATAAGTGATAAATGAATACTTGTATGGAGTCATGTGTTTGGTACATCCAGAATCTACAATCCATTTGCTCATATCACGCATGGAGGGAGTTTGTTTTGCCATAAATGCAAAATCTTCACCTCTATGGTCATCAAAAGCATTGTTGGCATTCTCTCTTTCTCCTCTCTTAGCCTTGAAACAATTTCTAGCAAAGTGGCCTGATTTTCCACAAACGTAACAAGTTTTAGATGGATTACGTTGAGAAGGAACACTTGCCTTACTTGGTCTTGTAAATAGTGCTGATTGCTCCCCAATAGACTCCTTTTGCTTTCTTTTGGTCACTTCATGAGCTAGTCTTGCCGTTACATAGTCCAAAGTAAGGTCTTTCCTTGAAATAGACTCCAATGCCACAATGAGGGAGGAATAGGAGTCTGGAAGGCTTGAGAGCAATGTCATCACAACATCCTCTTCATGTAAAGGCTTGTCAATAACAGCAAGTTGGTTTGCAAGTACCTTTACCTTATTTACATGAGCCATGAGATCTTCACCTTCTTCCATCTTCACGGTGAAGAACTTTTGCCTTGACCATAGCACATTGGAAAGATTCCTACTCTCATAGACATTGCAAAGAGTCTTCCATGCATCTGCTGCTCCTTTGTAAGAAATGACATGAGCAGAGTTGGTTTCATCTAAGTTGGTGGCAATTATACCAAAAGCCTTCTTTTCTCGTCTTTTGAAGTCTTTTTGCTCCTTCATGCTTGCCTCTAATCCAGGTGCCTCTTCCTCCTCACATACTATCTCCCAAAGATCCAATGATGCCAAAAGTAGCTCCATTTTGGCCTTCCAGTGGTGAAAGTTGTCACCTCTAAAATTTTCTACCATTCTTAAGCTATCACTCTCAAAAGATTCCATCTCAAGCTACAAATAGGTCCAAAAATCTCTTGATTTGGACTTGTAATGCAAAAGATATGACTAGTCAAAGATTGCTGAACTACAAACTCAGAATTCGCTGTTTTGCAACTTTTTGCATACTTTGAGTCCAAATCACGTCTAAATAGTGGAAAATGCTATGTCATGTAATTCTATGGCTTTCAAACATCTCTCTCACATCACCTCACTCAAAATGACTCAATTTCTCATAAAACTCTCAAATACTAATGTTACTTCAGCAAAGACACTATCAAGGTCTTGCACTAAGCTCATACACTCACAAATCCAGGAGTAATGACTTCAACAAAACACTAGTAATACTATACCATAAGATCTCAACCACCAAACAAGCAACAAAGAAAATAAAATGCAAGAACAACTTACTTGGTAAGAGAATGTGGGCCCATAACCTATTGAATCATAGAAATTAAACTCCACACAAGCAAGTTAGGACCAGCAAGGTTGCACTTCACAAATCAAGTGTGGTATGAGATAATTCTTCTCATTCCAACCTCTTGCTTATATTCTAGTATCAAGGTACCAAGTGCTACAACCCATATGGGATATCACCTAGGACCAGCCCTGCCCTTGTATTCTAAGGCACTATGGACCAACAACTAACATTATGGGATATCCCTAACAATACATATATTCTATTTGACCATTAGCAACTACTTGAAGAGTACTTTCTCTCAACATAATATACTAGTTGAACTCATGCTAATATGATATTGTCATGGCACATATCAATAAGTCAGATAGACCCCTTGTTGCTAGTGTATGCAAGCAAGTTGCAATATGTGGGGTGAAACTATGATGATATTATAACCTCTGCTCATACAATGTTCAAATCTAGAGAAGTTAGACATGCTCATTGGTCTCACCCTCTTATTATTGAGAAAAATATAAAATATAGGGTTCTTCTATTCCAAAGAACTGTAGGAAACAAAAATAAAAATAAAAATAAATCCTTGGTCTTCAAGATAAAGCAATACTTATGAGATCTTTCAAGTTTATCAACTTTAAAACAACAATGTTAATATTTTGATTGCTTACTTCAAGGCTTCAAAGATTTATTCTCAAATAATCTACAAATATATATATATATATATATATATATATGTTTGCAATCATTACACAATAGCAAGGCCAAAGATCCAAAAAAACAATTAATTATTTCCAAGTATTATTTATTGAGAAACGCCTTTGCAAATAATACAACATTTATAAGCATGTGACTTATCTTTTTTTAAACTTTGATGTCACGGTGAAACAAAACCATTGCCCAAATGACAAAAAAGAGCACTATTGGTATTACATTCATTAGTAGAGTAGATGTTGAGATTAGGCCTTATTTGTTTGTTAAGATAGAATTGATGTGATATGCATGAGTATTACAATACACTTTTCTACACCTTGCAATTAATGTTGTCTCATTGATAGAAACCTACAAGTCTCAAGAAAGAGCCTTCAAAAGACATCCTTAAAGGTGAGGCATGAAATTACTTTATAATCCTCTTTACAATGCACATGCAATGGCTAGGGGTATCTACAACTTCAACTTATCAATTGATAAGACAACTCCTACAAATCCTTTACGTCAAGTCAAAAATTGCTACAACAATGTTCATTGAAGAAACATACATAAGTTGTGTAATACTGAAAGTAGAGAATTCTTATTGCTAAGATAGCCAATTCAACACTTGTAGTTGATAAGATTGATGACTTTTATTTATTGTCAATTTAAACTCATATTTAATCTCTAACACTAAATTCAATTTAACTTTTAATTGGCAACATTATTTTCATCAAAACTTTGGCTTCATTGTAAAATTTTGATGAAAATAATGATAATTGAGTGATGTAGCTAAAGAAAAGGCCAATTTGTTTCCCTGGTTTATCTTATTGATTACCACCCTTGATGTATTTTGTAATAGAGATTGTAATTTAAACATATCTTTGAAATTCTATTATTTTATATACAAATTAGATTAGTATTAGATGTCTCTTGCATTATTGTGGTAGTTTTTGATAAATCAAGCTATCTATTTATTTGACAAGATTGTTTGTATTCACTTCATGGATCACTTTAAAAATAAAAATAAAATATCATTCATAAAATTATAGATATTTATTTTAAAAATTATTTAATGTATATCTTCTAAAAAGATATGAAAAAAAAACTTAATGTAATAAGTTGATCATTTTTTTTGTTATATTAAAAAATTGAAAAAATATACTTCCATCTTTAAACATGTATATATATATACACATACATACAAAGGCATAACTATTAATTTTCATGTATTATATATTATGGTGATATTATACTTTTAATTTTTTTCAATAATTTAAAAATTCTTTTAAGATATTTTTGAATAATAATAATAAAAAAAAACAAATGAATTTGGTAACACTTACTAGAGGACTTTTGAAAAAATATTTTAGTGCATTAAGCTACATTTATGTGATTGAAATTGAATTGAATTGAATATAAATTAAACATATTAATGGATAAAAACAATTAACTTTTAATTTTTATAAACATAGTATATTCAAAATTTATTCCTCATTGATGTCATTACACAATGATATTTAATAAATATTTTAATAATAGCCATAATAATTAAAAAAAACACTTATCAATAACTTGCTTTAACCATAAATCCCATGGCAATGCAAGGCCTCTTATGCTAGCATATATATATATATATATATATATACACACACATATAAGTATATAAATATTGCTTTTGTTTGTTTTGTTTGATGTTAGATTTGATTGGATTTTTTCTTATGAAGTTTAAGCCTTCGAAAGAAAGGTGTATTTTGGGACTCAGTAATAAAAATGCAAGCATAAGCGTGTGCACACATGGAATGTTGGGATTGAGTCCGGAAAGGGCATGGAAGGGGGAATAAACAATGCCCGCCTGTCAGTCTGTGTTGGCAAGAACCAGGGCAACCCAAAAGCTGGCTGAGCCTCATCGGGGGGAGGGAGGAATGAAGGAAGGAACGAAGGAAGAGGAACGGCGATCCTCCATCTCCTCCAACTCCTCCTCCTCCTCGTCCTTCTTCTGCTCCTCTTGCTGCTGCAGTGCAAGTCGGGCAAGTGAATTCGTGTCGCATCTCCTCCCTCCATCAGTGTGTGTGTGTGTGCCTTCTCTCATCCCCCCCACCCCATGTCTTCATTCTTCATCGTTTTGGTGATCATGCCCTGCTTTGGATTTGGGATTCCAGTACCATCCGGACATGGCGTAGAGCTCTTTGTCTGAAGTAATCGAGAGCTTTGGTGTAACCCTAGAGATTTGATGTTCACTTCTTCTTTCAACCCTGACTCATTCGCTGTAAGTTTCTGAAGCTTCGCTACTATGTATGATGGTTGCGGGAATCAATACCTCGCACTACAGTAGTGTAGAATCTGCTGATAGTTGTCCTTGAAGGGATCGTAGAGGACTCTGCATTGCTGAATTTTAAGTAATCGTTTGGAAACATTTGTAATCTGTAATGTCAGTGATGCCACGGAACCATCTTGTTGTCATTCAAGCTCTGTTTTATTATTATTATTATTATTAATTTGTGTACTGATGTTTAGGGTTTAGGGTTCGATGCTCGGCTCTACCGGTACATTGAACCCCCTCGGTTAATCCCAAGTAACTCATTGCAATCTCGAAAAATGGCTAGTCTGTAATCAGATTGTTGGTATTGTTTAGCAGGTTTTCAGGTGCAGCAGCTTGAATCTGTTGTGTTGTTAATTGTGATTGGTGATTTGGAACTTTTGAGATTAACTTTGGAACCATGGCGACATACTCCGGCGTCACCCCCCGTCATCTGGCACCACTGGTTCATTTGCTGGGAATCGTCAGCATGGTGCTTATGGCACTGTGGACGAAGTGCTTCCGGGGCGGGTACGGCCTCTCCGGTTCCGGGGTATTCAATCTCCATCCCTTGATCATGTTTGCTGGGTTCATCTTTTTGTCAAGCGAAGCTATCGTCACGTACAAAATCCTTAGTGGAGACAAGAAGCTCCAGAAGAGAGTGCACATGATTGTCCAGGGTGTAGCCATCTTTCTCGCCGTCCTGGGGGTCACTTTCGCGTACAAGTTCCACCTTGATATCGGCATCCAAAATTTCTACAGCCTGCACTCCTGGCTCGGTCTTATCACCATCACGCTGTATCTATTCCAGTGGATCTTAGGGTTCATGGCTTTCTGGCAACAAAGTGTAGCAAAGGTGAAACGCGCAGAGCTACTCCCGTGGCATGTTTTTCTGGGCCTGGCGGCGTACGCTACGGCTCTTGCAACTGCAGAGCTCGGGCTACTTGAAAAGGTCACGTTTCTTGAGAAAAGCGAATCCCCGCCGCTGAGAATTTGGTCTGGTGAGGCCATGCTTGTGAACATCATCGGGATTGTAATCTTCCTACTGGGTGCATTTGTTGTCTTGACCAGTCTGATACCAAGATCTCGGAAGGACAAAGGATACCGTGACTTGCTAGAGTGAGTGACTTTTAGGTTTTCCTTTCTCATTCTCTGTGTTGTTGCAGGAAAGTGTACATTTTATTGATTTTCTGTACAGAAATAATATTTAGCGTACGGGACCAATTGGATTTGATGAGTCGCGTTTTGCGTGTAGAGGTTTCTGATTGATGCTATTGTCTCGAGAATCTTAGTGATGGTTTTGATGCGAGCTCTTTGTCTAGGGATTCTGATGGTATCGTTCCAGGTCGTGGGCGTTGTGTTTTGAAAGTCATGAACCAATTGGCTGCTGCTCAGAATCTGGCACCAGAAAGTCTCTTGTCAACCGAAACTGAATTGACGAATCTCAGTGAATGAAGGGCTCAAAAAGTGGTTTTCTGATGTCAATTTTCGGTCGTAAACCTGGAACGCCTACTACACGAGAGCAGGATCTTCGAGCGTGCCTCTCGTCAAACGAATCTCCTGTTGGTGTGCTCGATGCTCATGTTGCTTGGTTTTGACGAACCTGGTTCCCACGTAACTGTCTATTTGGCTAGGAACCAGTCGGTTACGAGAGCTTCGCATTCATTTGACAATCGAGATCGGCATATTTTCACGATCGTTTAAACCCGGAGGTTAGAATTTGACGGACATGCTCTCAAATGCCACTTAGATGATGACCCCATTCCATCATCGTATTAGACTTGTATCTGATTGTTCGATATTTATGGCCATCCACCTCATCCACTATTGATTCAACTTCAGGACCTCTTACTACTGCTCTTCAATTACAATTCTCGAACTGTCAGGCAAGTGACTTTCCTTGCCACCGAATTGCAATGTACTGCATAAGTCTCATGAAGTTTTTGTTCTTGTGCGAAATTTATTTTTGTCATCTGGAGGCTCTTTTTTGAAGTGACTTCTTGAACATATTTAACATCAATTTTTCCAAAATATTGCCACTCGCTCTTTATCACCATGAAATGTGTTTAATGAATTAGTTCTTTTAGATGCGGCTCATTGTACATTCAGTTTAAACAACTTTTGGTTGCACCAATAAATGACTAAATGAATAAATAAATCTCAAATCAATACATGCATATCTTCATTACCTTCTCTTTTAGTCATAATAGATTTAATTTCTTCTTAAATTAGAAGAAGACAACTAAATAGGACAGCTTTAGGTGGACCTCATGATTTTTTACTCTCCCTTAATGCCTCCATTTCATGTCTTCTTAAAATTATGAACCATCTTTATTACATGCCACTTACACATTACATTCTTAATATATTTGTATGATATTTTTCTTCTATTAACTTTCTCAATTTTATGTGAAATATTCTCTATTCCATTCTTACACTTGTTTCATAGGAGGTACTAGTATAGGAGAATGGGTGGAAAAAGAAATGTTTGGAGAATAGAGAAGCTAATAAAAAAGAGTTAATATCCAATCCATTAAAGAATACAATATCTTAATGGAATATGAGGATGATTGGCATAATTTTAAGTAAATACTAATTTATGATATTAAAGATGAACCTAAATGTTATAATGTCATAAAAATATTGACACAAGTGAAGATAAAAGAAGTTAGGTAGAAGTAACTAGAAGTAAGTAAAATTAATAATATCTTGTGATAAGGCTTTTTAAAAACTTTATAGATACAAATTTTACTTCTTAAGTGTTTGCAAGTACTTGTTAAGTTGAAAACTTGCCTACATATCACACATGTTGACCACTTGCTTTACAAGTTGATTACATATCACACATGTTGGTAACTTGTTGTACAAGTTGGCTAAACAACGTACATATTAGAACTTGTCATTTAAGTTACATACATATCATACAAGTTGGATACATGTCAGATGATCTATTGTCACGGACACAAAAATATAGACTCGAGATCTATCAAGAAGTTCAAGAAGAATTGGCAATAACTAGATTAATCAGATGAATACAAGAACAACTCCAGAGAGGTGAAGTAGAACTCCAAGAGATGTGTTGTCGAGAGTGAAGAACTCTTCAGCCTCGATTCCAATATATACTCCTATTTAGGAAGCTTCTCAAGCAACTTCTACCAACTAGGAAGCTTCTAGAAGGTTCTAGAAACTTGTCTCTAGAAGGTTCTAAGGACTATGTCCCTAATATCACCCCCTTCTTTAGCTTCGAGGTCTCTGAGAAGCAATGTTGTTGTTAATCAGTACCAACGCAAGAAAATGAAGATCTGTTGCATAACGTTTGCTATGAACTCCAACTGTTATTCACGAGGAAAGTGGTTCATCAGTCCTTGAAGCCAACGGTCGTGGCCCACTTCTTCAACTTTTGAGCAAGCATGAACTTCTGTGTCCTCATTGTGAAATTGTCCTGCAAACACGCCTTCTGGCTGACCATCGTAAGCAGGCTCAGACTCAAATACAATCACCAGTGATCAGTTACTTGGTATCCTCCGTCGTCGTGGTGGTGTAGGCGATTTTTCATCTCGGGGTCGCCTTCGTGAGCTAGTCGGTTGAGATGATCTGACTGGCATAGTATCTATCTCTTGGCTATCCATATCAGAAGACAAAACTATGGCTATTGAAAAAATTCTATTTTATCTTGGAAAAAATAACTACATCAACTATGAATTTTGGTGGTACTATCTCCCTTTCTTATATTCTTGGGTGAGCAAGCTTCAGAAGGAAGCTATCGTCGAACCAGCTTAGGTTTATGAGGATGTTGTTGATGAAACTCCTGTACCTTTTGCGACGCATTGGAGAGATTTTTAGTTGGCTCCCATGTTTGCTTATTAATGTCGTAGCTATACCAATGAATAAGATACTCCAACTTGCCCCACCTTTGCCGTGAATCCAACACCTTTTCAACCTCTTATTCCTCGTGGTTCTCGATCTCAATACTAGGTGGCGGACATTGCACTCTTCTAGGAAAAGATGATTCTCGATAAGGCTCCAATAGAGAAACATGAAAGATTGGATGTACCTTCATAGAAGCCGGTAATTCCAGACGATACGCTACTAGATTGATTTTCTTCTAGATGATAAATGGTCCCAATCTTCGATAGTCCAACTTATCACATCGTCGCTTGGTCTTGATATTCCGTCGAAGAAGCCATGCTTTATCTCCAATTTTGAAAGTAGGTGCTTGATCCTGAAATCTATCTACAGATGCCTTGTAGGATTCTTGAGCGGATTGTAATTGAAGCTTCAACGTATTTTGAAGCTCTGATAGTTGATTTGCAAATCTTTCAACTGCTGAATTGTTATTTGTTGATGGACTCAATAAATCAAGCTTCAGATGATATCCATAGTTGGAAAAGAATGGTGTATATTGAGTTGACGCATGGAGGGTGTTGTTATATGCAAACTCAGCTAGCGACACATATGTGGTCCAATCGTCTTACTGATAGTTGATGCTGCATCGTAAGTATTGTTCCAAGACTTGGTTCAACCGTTCCATTTGGCCGTCAGTTTGAGGACGAAAAGTCAAAGAAAGCTTAATATCCGTCTTCAATATTTGAAAGAGAGATCTCCAAAACTTTGATACGAACTGGGTTCCTCGATCTGATACGATATCATCTGGTAGTCCATGATATCGATATATATTATCGAGAAAGAGCCTTGTTGTAACTTCATTGGACAATGTCTTCTTGTAAGGAACAAAGTGCGCCATCTTTGTAAGCCGATCTACTACACAAAGATGCTGTCAAATGAGTTTGATGATGGCAGGTCCGTGATGAAGTCCATGGAAATTGAAGACCATGGTCGATGTGGAATCGGCAATGGCTGTAAGAGTCCATAAGGGTAATATCGAGGATTCTTGGATCTTGAACAGTTGTTGCAAAAGAGGATAAAATCTTTCACATCCTTCCACATTTGAGGCCACCAAAAATCTCGAGAAATAAGTTCTAAGGTCTTTTTGAATCCAAAATATCCCGCAGCTGGAAAATCGTGGCGAGATTGAAGAACTCAAAGTCATGTTGGTCCTTTTGGGATATATAACCACTCTTCAAAGTATAAATGATCTCCCTCCACTTTGAACTTGTCGTCATTGGCACGCTCCTTAATATCAATGGCTACTGAATCTTCAATGGTTACGACACGTACCTGATTCAGGAAGTCAGCATCTATTGGCACAATAGTAGCGCAAAGTTGAAATTGCTCTCGCTTCAACAATGTCGTACATTGTTCATGAAACGCTGCTTCTCTAGCCTTTGGTATAAGATACGATCTCCTCGATAAGGCATTAGATAGTCTTTGCTGCTTTCTAGGTCGATAAGTGATAACAAAATTGAACCTAGATAGCAATATACTCCACCGAGCTGGACGTTGATTTAGAACTCGAGTCGACATGAAATACTCCAAATTCTTGTGATCTGTGTATACAGTCACTATGTGTGCAGCTCCTTCAAGAAAGTGATGCCATTCTTGGAAAGAATCTATTATAGCACGAATTTCCTTATCGTGGATCTCATAATTGATTTCAGTAGCAGAAAAGTTTCGAGAATAAAATGCAACCGGATGGAGCTTCTTTTCTTCTTCCATTTGTGAAAGTACAACTTCCAAAGCAAAATCTGAAGCATTAGTTTCTAAATAAAAGACCTTTGTAAAGTCTAGATGTATTAAGATTGGAGCTGTAGTAAATGCAGTCTTTAGGTCTTGAAACGCCTTCTCCGCTAGAGGTCCCCATTCCAGCTTATCCTTGCATGTCAACCAAGTGAGAGGAGCAGCAACTTGAGAGTAATTCTTGATGAAGATCCGATAGAAGTTGGCAAAACCAAGAAAGCATTATACGTCTCTAACCGTCTTCGAAACTTCCCAAGACACGATTACTTCCATCTTCTTGGGGTCGATCTTCAAGCCTTCCGTAGTCGCAATGAATCCCAAAAACTCCATCTCTATTTGATGAAATAAATACTTCTCCAACTTGGCATAAAGTCCTCGCTCACATAGTTTCTCCAAGACCAAATGAACGTGCTTTTCATGCTCTTCTTCGTTTTTGGAAAATATCAATATATCATCTAAATAGATGACAACAAAATTGTTAAGGTGCTTTCAGAAAATGTCATTCATCATATGTTGAAAGACCACTGGAGCATTGATAAGACCAAAGGGCATGACATTATACTCAAAAAGGCCATATCTTGTACGGAACGCTGTCTT